AGAGGGAGCCCGAGCCCGTCCAAATCGCACCAAATCGACTAATAACAGGCCGTAATAGTAGCAATCCGGTTGGCTTAGCGCTCACCCCGCTGGAGGGCGTCACTGCCCCGCTCTACCGCGTCCTGCCCTGCCCCGCCCTGCCCCGCCCCTGCCGAGCTCGGCCCGGCCCAGCTGGAGAGGCGCACCCAGCCCAGTCCGGCCGGCAGCAGCTTCCAGCCGCTTCCTGTCCTTCTGTAATTGCGCGCTGATTGGTCGCCCCGGCCCGGCCCTGTCCGCCGCGACCCTCCCGCCGGCCCCGGCCCCAAGGCACCAGCTGCACCTCCCGCACGGAATATTGCTCCGGCCACGCTACCCGACAAGTGGAGCTAGGCACGCTGGAGGTCTGCCTCTGTCTCTTGGAGGTGCACCTGCTGGAGGCCGTTCTGGAGATCTACCGGCCAGAGGTCTGCTTGATGGGGGGGTCTGGGTCTGCCTGCTGTAAGTCTACTGGCTGGCAGTCGACCCGCTGGGGTCCACCTCCTGGAGGCTATGCTCGAAGTCTGCCTGCTAGGTCGGTCTGCTTTGAGCCCTGCTGGAGGTATTTTTGCTTGAAGTCCGCATGCTGGAGGCCCTGCTGGAGGCCTTAATGGAGGTAAATTGGTGCGTCCCACCACGAGCGTCGCGCTTCTGGCCGGTCTACTGGAGAACTCTTCCTGTCCGGGAAGTCCACGCCCCGCGGCCGGGCCGCAGAGCTCCGTTCGTTAGGCCGTTAAGGCCTTCCTGGGTCCCACCCGGCCCTGCCCGTACCCTAGCCCACCTTGGCCCGCCGGAGGCTCGGGTTTGCTGGACCCCCGCCCCGTCGGTTGCGTGTGTACCCCGCGCCATCCTAACTTCACTATATCCGACGCAGGACCCGCGCCTCCGCCCTACGCACAGAAGGAAATTGTTGCTATTCCTGGAGGGAAATTTGATGGAGTCGGTGGTCATATTGGCTGAAATCGGCTTCTGGAGTGGAAAGTGGAGAGGCGTGGTGGGGATGAGGGAGAGCGGGTCGAAAAGCGACCTGGGCTTACTCCTTGTGGTGGTGTTTGTGCCGGTGTGAGGTTGCGCGGTGGAGAAATGGCCCCATCGCCCCCATCGCGAGCACCCGTGCGTTATCAAAAAGACTAACCCACCCCCACACCCTTTCTCAATGGATTAAGTAATCCTGCAAGTGGCAAATTTCTCGCCCCAGCGGTGTAATCACCTGGGATTTAAATACATTTTAAAATGACAAACCGTTTATAGTGAAAGGAATTCAGTGAGAATTTACGGTTGCACTGCCCGCAAGGCAAACAAGAACAGAGAAAGAATGTCAAGTTTTTCATCTTCTCGCATCTTCTTTTAATTCTTTTGTGATTGCAGGGAGACGTTTGCTGCTGGATCTGCGACATGTGCGAGGATTACGAGTACGTCTACAACGAGTCGACGTGCGCCGACTGCGGCAAGGGCTCGTGGCCGTACGAGGACAAGCGGTCCTGCTACGAGCTGGACGTGCAGTATATCCCCTTCTTCTCCGCGGTGGCCTACGGACCGCTTATCATCGCGGCCGCCGGGATCGCCTTCACGCTGGCCACCGTGGGAGTGTTCGTGCGCTACAACGACACGCCGCTTGTAAGCACACGATCTCTGCGGGTCTTTTTTTTTAAAAGAAACTCTAACGAATATTTTGGCTAGTTTACCAAAGTTGTGTTTGTGCGGGTCGCCAATATTCCGTACACCAGAACCTTTATACTTCACTGTTTAAAAAATCAGAAAATCACGAAGAATCTGGCGTGAAAAAAGGTGCCGGAACTCATTGTGATTTTTTGGGGATATCTTCAAACGCCCTTCTTCGTTGTCAAAAAATAATTAACTTCAGAAAGAATTACGATTAGTGCAGAACTATTTCGAATTCAGATAGAAAAGTGCACTATTTACGATTACAGAGAAGTGTTGTGATTTCACAGTTGCTTCGTATTGAGAAATCACAATGCATTTTTAGCAGTGTTTATGATACTGCATGATAGGCCACAAAATACCACACATAATACCTTATAACCCCTCATAATCCTCCATAATACTCCATTATATCAAATAATATTCAAATAAATTCGCCATGTACGTTGAAAACCCGAGTTAGACGATGTGTTGCACGCCTCTCTGCGCCTTTTCGGTCCGAAATAAAAATATACAAATTTTGTTATTTTTTGCCTTTTTTGGCAGTATTTGAGAGGGTGAGTGGGTTCGTCAGAGCCGGAACTAGCGAGCGTCTTCCCCCACTTCTTCCACTGAAATCCGTTTTGTGATAATTTTGCGATAACTGGTGTTTTGCAATTCCCACGCTAAAGGGCATGATAACTCTAAAAAATGTGATAAAAGTATTACATTTATGTGATAAAATCATCACAAAACACGTAATAAAATAATTTTTGTGATGATTTTATCACAATTATGTGATACTTTTATCAATTTTTTTAGAGTTATCATTCCCTTTAACGTGGGAATCGCAAAACACCAGTTATTGCATGATTTTGTGTTAAAAGTATCGCAAAACCAGTTTCAGTGCGATCTCTACCGCTCTACGGTGCGCTCGCTCATACTGCTGGTCGGCTGGCATCCCGGGGAAAAGGTGGTGGGGAGGAGGAAGAGAGGGGGGCCGCTTCTCGGAATGGGGGAACCGGGCCTGGCGGGGAGGGAACGCTGGCGGAACTACATATAGCGAGCCCTCACCTCATTTTTGGGGTACGGAGCAACAGTAAGATCACGTAATCAACGGATATAAGCGATAATTATTTTCCGGACGCGTCCCATACCCTAAATTTAGTTTTATGGTGCAACTCAAACGGTTCTTCCGTTCCTATTTTCTGAAGTAAGCTATGACGGAATGTCCCGTTACCAGTCCAGTAGTATCAGATAATTTTTATAGTGCACACAGTGGTAATGTTGTGGTGGTGGTGGTGGGAAAAGAGGGGCGGGGGTGTTCTTCGGTCTGCTCAGTGCAGTGGCCAGTCCCCCCCCCCTCACTTACAGGGGGGACGAATAGAGACTCTCTCTCTCTGCTCAGTGTGTGGCAGTTGCGCATTCTTCCGACGACCCCCTCCCCCATTACCCCTCCCCCCTCCCATACTCGGCCCCTCTCCTCTACCCTCGGGCTCACGTCAGGCTCCCCTCGACGCTTACTCGCACTTAGGTCGTGACCTCGGTCGTGACACATGACAGCAACCGTCCGTCCAGGAGCGAGTGACTCTCTGAGGACGGACTGCGGCACTCACCTTTGTAATTTTATATCTTTCTGCCTGTCTGTTCCGTTCTGTCTCCATAAGCCCCTCCTTCTACTCTCCTTCTCCTCGGTATATACAATCCCGTTCCGGATGGAATTGGAAACAAGAAGGATAAAGCTTTTGTGAACCGTTCAAGCACAGTCTAAAAAAGCTCCTTTCCTGAACATTGTCTGTCTTGAGCTGGTCCATGTAAGGAAGTGGTTCACGCCCCCATGCAGGTGCGCGCCACGGGCCGGGAGCTGAGCTACGCGCTGCTCATGGGCATCACGCTCTGCTTCGCCAACACCTTCATCCTGCTGCAGAAGCCCTCGCTGCTCACGTGCACCATGCAGCGCTTCTCCGTCGGCATGGGCTTCTGTATCATCTACTCGGCCCTGCTCACCAAGACGAACCGAATCTCTCGCATCTTTGACTCCGCGTCCAAGTCGGCGCGACGGCCCAGGTTCATCAGCCCCAAGTCGCAGGTAAAAGCACTGTAAAAAATACCCTCGTCAATTTACGACTAGTTTTGTAATTAATATTTACAAAATATGTTGTAAATCTATATAACACCCCTAACCTGCTCGTCGATGAAACCCAAGTCGATACATAGTGCTTGTGATTTTACAATTTCGAATTGCGTCAAAAAAGTTTTCCCCGGGAAAACTTTTTTTACGGCCGTAAAACTCAAAACTAGCTTATTTTGCACAGTGATGACACCTTTAAAAAATATGTCATTTCTATGTATTTAGTTGATATAGAAAAAACCGCAACAACTTGTTTTATCAGTTGTATTGTTCGCGTGTTTTATCCAAGCAGGATTGTTGCTTTATTTTTTCCTTTACTTAAAGTCTGTCATGTCTTTTCAATCATTCCTTATAATAAAACTAAATTTTTCATTGAGCCTTGAGTGCGTGCCGCTGGTGTGGAGCCCTCTCGCTCTCCCACCCCTCGGGCTGAGGCCCCTGCGGAGGCCGGGGTAGGCTGCCCGCCCGCCGTGCTGCGCGGCGGGCCTGCCTACCCCAAGCACAACAGGCGCTCATACTACGGCCATTAAATTTGGGCCGGGTTTGGGCCGTCTTTAATTTTACAGTCTGGCTGATTTCCATACAGCCTGGCCTCTCTGTAAAATGCTTTCAAACTATATTCTTTGCAGCGACGTTGCACAGAATTTGCGAGATTTGTGGGCCAAAGAATTAGTTCGTCTTGCAAAAAAGTCTTCGCAAGCTGTCATAATCCTTGCAAACTATTGTTTCCATTGCAAAGAAATAGTTTGAAAGCTTGCGAAGAACTTTTTGGTATTACTACAATGCTTTGAAATTCTTTGCAAGCTGCAAGGAAAATCGTTACTTTAACAGTTCGCGGTGCCGTTGCAGGTACTCATCACTGTGGCGCTCATCCTGGTACAGACTCTGGGCACGTTCGCCTGGCTGGTGGTGGAGCCGCCGGGGACGCGGTTCGACTACCCGGACAGGCGCCAGGTGTGGCTCAAGTGCCGGATACACGACGAGTCGTTCCTGCTGTCGCAGCTCTACAACATTCTGCTCATATGCGTGTGTACTGTGTACGCCTTCAAAACACGCAAGATCCCGGAGAATTTCAACGAGAGCAAGTTTATCGTCTTTACCATGTACACGACGTGCGTCATCTGGCTCGCGTTCCTCCCCATCTACTTCACCACGAGGCACGCGCAGGAGGTACGCGGATGTTCGCAGCCATTGCAGCAAAGCAGCTAATACTACTAGAGGATGCATGTGTTCACTCGCAGACCTCCTGTACTGATTTATTTCTTCCTAATATTTACGTTTTTACGCAGTTGGATTGCTGAAAAATTTGTTATTTATTCTGTATATTTTTGACAGTAATTGAAAAAAAGAATTATTTCGTGTTACTTATGGAAAACGTTGTCAGTAAGGTTTTTACGCAGGAGGAATACTGACAAGGGGTTAAAAAAATCAGTAACAGGGTGAGAGTACTCTGAAAACTCAACAGTGTACATTGTATGCTGATAAATCAGCAACCATTAATGATTGCTGCATATCAGTGCACTTGCAAGAGTGCAAATCCTCAGTTGAACCCTTCCTTAGATTGAACGCTCACTGTGTAGGACTGCTTAACCGAGGAATTGCACACTTGCAAGTGCACACCTAACGAGTTGAACACTTGTAAGTTATCAACTTTCAGGTGTTAGACAGTTGCACACTTAGTTTATCAGTGTAGTGTTAGACCGTCTGTGCTTCACACGCTTCACACCAAATAGTGGGTCTCACACCATTTGGTGCATGGTATTTTGCCTCACACCTGAGTTTCCTAAGTTTCCTGAGTTTGGCCACGTGTAGCTCACCCTGTTAATTTTTGTTACTTTGCTCTCGTCTGTTTTACATGCAGAAAATCGTGGTAGTAAAGAATTCATTTTAGCGCTATAAGGTTCAATTTCATTCTCTATGCCAACACTGCAGTTGTCTGTCTGCCCTGTAACAGGCGGTGCGGTACACGAGGATGCTAGTTAGTTTTATAGAAGGTTTGCCTTTTCTCTTTGGTCTCCAGGTGCAGGTGCTGACGCTGTGCGTCTCCATCTCGCTCTCGGCCTGGGTCTCCCTAGGCTGCTTGTTCGCTCCCAAGGTGTACATCATCCTTTTCCACCCTGAGAAGAACGTCCGTCGGCTGACCATGAGCACGACGTACCGCCGTCGCTCCGGGGGGCGGCCGTCCTCCAGCGGCGTGCCCACCGCCACCACGGCCATCGCGGACCACAACAACGACCACAACAACAAGCGGCCGGGCTCGGGGCACTACCAGGGTGAGCACCGCGAGCTCCGCGAGAAGCGCGAGCCCTCCACACCGGGCATGCGCCAGCCCGAGCGCCAGCCCAGAGGAGGTAGATGGCACATGCTAACAACTTGTCTGTTCCCTTGCAGCGTGCACCCCGGTCGGACAGCCAGTGGATCTGGTGGTGTCGCAGTCCCCCGGGCCCACGGTGTCCACAAGCACCAACGTGGCCGAGGCCCACGAGGCAGCCGCTCTGCTCTAGAGAGAGAGAGAGAGAGAGAGAGAGAGAGAGAGAGAGAATGGCAGTGAGTGAGTGTGTGAGTGAGTGAGTGAAAATCGTGAAATTGTGTGTGAGACTGAAAGAGAGGGAGAGGCCTGCTGACCTGTCAAGATATTTATTTACACTAGAAGTACACTGATAAACTAAGTGTTCAACTGCTCAACACTTGTAAATGTGCAACTGCAAGTTGAATACTTGCAAGTGTGCAACTCCCTACTCGTACACTTGTAAGTGTTAAACTCGGTAGTTGTGCACTTGCTAGTGTACAACTCCTCGGTTGAACACTTATGTACTTCTAAATATTTAAGTGTATATTGGATTGTATGAACCTGTAAAAATAAAAATCATTAGATAATTTGATATTGTATGAAGTGGTTTTGAATCGACCAAAATAGAAAATCCTATTGTTATGGTGGCCTTGTCCCCATGTAAGTATGTAACATAGAGATAAAAACTAGAAATAATTTCTTTAGTTATGGCTGAATCTCTGGTCGCTGTTGTTCATAATGAAGAGAAGAAAGTTAAAATAGTTATAGATTATTCTTCCGCACCTTTGCACTATGTCCTTTGTTTGAATGTGCACATGTTAGAACTTAAATTGAATGAGAGAATTTTGAGTTCTGTGGACTGCTCTTACTCTATAGTTACATCTTAGTTATTGTGGCGGCCTTCTCTATATTTGATCTTTTTATGTACATGTACATAGCATTGTTCTTGTTGTTGTTACTGTTATTTTTCTCTATTGAGGCGCATGTGGTCGCTGTATTTATTTTTGGCAGAGTTCGCTCGGTTTAGAGTTGACAATGGTACTCATCTTTTGTGATAAACGGCCTCTTTAGCACTGCATGGAGGAATCATCATATCAATCAAGATTGTTATAAAATAGTACTGAAGATGTAAATACATTTTTTATGTTTACCTTAAAGTATTTCTACCAGCTGTAGTCTCTAATAATCAGTTTATAATTTCGATGTGCTAAGTTTCTTGTCTGATTATTTTTTTTTCATTTAAGAAGTATGTAAGAGACATAAGTAAGTTCCTTTTCTGCTTCTAGTCATGTGACTTGTTTAGAAAATGTTCCATATCACCTTAGACCTAGAAAATTTTTGAAAAGGAAAATCCGTATACTGGCAATATGGTCACATTATGTATTCTTTTGGCTGAAAAGAGATATGAAATTTCATTTCAAAGCCTTTAATTGTAGCTTACCAGTTGTAGCTGTTGATTTTATAAAACTCCAGCTTCATGCTATCAAGGACGAGACTGAGGGAACAGAATCAGTATTCCTCCGCTCAGTCGCCAGAGGGAAGTTGTTTCAGACTCTGGGCCCCTGATTACGACTCCGCGTGCTCAGACAAACTGAAAAGAAACGTTCTTGACACAAAAGTTCAAGTTTGTATTCTTGTCTTTTTGTAACTGAGTTCACATTTGGCGACTGACCGATCTAAGCAGCTCAGCCGCTATAAGTACCTCAGGAATGTGTGAGAATTTTAGACTTATTGTTTACCAAGCAATGTAGACCAAAGCATTTCATTTAATATTTTTCTGATGGCCCCTTAATTAGAAAATATGTTTTCCTTGTTGTGCGAAAGCTCAACATATGCTGAAAAATTACTCATTACCGAGCACAATGTACATGACCCAGTGAGAAGCCTGCAGACGGTCTATAGACGTCGAAAAGATATCGAATACGCGTCGATTTTAATGATATTTGACAAAAATATCGACGTCGTTTCTACTTTTGGTGTCAAATTTTCGTCCAATCGCCGTCAACGTTCCTCACTTGGCGATATATCTCCAAATGACATCTCGACCTGACTGGATCGTTCAACTACCAAAATAGTGTCTGACTCGTTCTATTCTCCATTCTCTTTTTCATGAGCTCTTTCAACTTATTTTTACAGGAATTCCTCAAATTTATTTTTGTTTGATAACTGTTTTTCTCTTTTAGTTAAGGGCCATACAGATGTTCCCTTCTACTTTTTATGACTGTGAATGTGAACTATCAGTTTATGATGTGTGTAAATGATGTTACAGTTGATACATGACAACTGAAAACACTATGAAAATCGATTGCAATACAATGATTATTAAAATGTCATGAAATAACATTTTAAATGATTAACACAAAAAACAACAGCCAAAATAACTACTCTCATGCTGTGCTATTACTTATGTTACAAATAAATAAATTTAACATCAACTTTGAACACTTAGTTACCCCCCGAACCAGGGCACATGGGGATAGGTGACACATTTCGGGGAAATATCTCTACAGCCAAAGAGCATGATAAAATACATCTGGACGCTCCGCTCTGATGTGATCGACCACACATGGTGACAGCTAGTGCTCCGGGGCACATGCTGTCATAATTGCCGAGGTTTCTTCTCGAGATTATTTGAGAGAAGACACGCGCCTCTCATTGATTTCGTGTGACTGAAGGTCGAATAGAGGCACACAACAACCCTAAAATCCGCAATGCTGCCTAAACTAGGACTTCCAGAGAAGACTTTCCACAAAGGGACACTATGTGTCCCACTCTCCCTTACAATACCACAATATGAACGATTGAGAATATTTCATGCCAAAATTTCGTCCGTTATGGCGCTAACGGGTTTTATTGCCGTAAATAAGCTAAAATTGCCTCATATGACCTGGAATAGATATGGAAAATGAGTACCCCGGAACCGCACATTCAGAGCTGAAGTACACTTTTTATATTCATATTTATTAATCTCAAAAGTCAAGGGTTACAAAACAGTTAAAAGAGGTCATACAGACTGAGTACAGAGGTACAGAGCTCCGGAGATAGGTTGATGTATATCCCGGGCAGTGCCGGTCGGTAATGCGCATTGAAATGCGTCTACAAATTAACACATTTTCTGTACATTTAATGTGCATTGCCGCATTAAATGCACACTTAATGCGCGTAATGCACATTAAACGCGTAAAAAATGCATTACCTTTTCTGCGCATTTTAATGCGCATTGCCGCATTTAATTTGCATTTAAACGCATTGGCGCTACTAGGGTAGAAATTTGCCAGAAAGACAATGTTTTTTGCCTTTTTGGCACGCAAACTGCGATGGTTTATGCTGCCTGGCTTTTCAGAGCAGAAGAGTGGGATGCAGTCATGGTGCCACAACGTTACAGAATTTTATCGTGCCCAGGAAGGATCATTATTTGGCCGCAGGTCCACTTTGAGATCGAAGTTAGGACATAGTGACTTTACAGAGTAGGCCAAGCTGCTGCCGAACGGAGTTCTCAGCGAAGCGACAGGAGAGCTGGCAAAACCCTGTTTTGCAG